AGGTTTCAGATGTTGGTGTTCAGGAAAATCCAAGAAAATGACTATTTCAAAAAAGCATTTACAATGTTATACAGTACGAAAATACTGTATAACAATTATTCTACACTAGTTAGTCATTTGGCAAGGCGTTATCATTGCCTCCACCCAGGAGTAAAAGAGGGTGCTTGGTAGGTTCTAAAGCAAATACTAGCTGAAACATGTGATTAGCATTTACGGCGAATGCATAAGATTTAGGCCTAGTACTAGTAGTGTAGATAGTAGACCCTAGAACTGCTGCTGCTAGGCCTAAGAAGTAGTATAGGCCTAGATTAGTAAGGTACGATTTTGTGCATCATTTTCATAGCAATCTTTGGCGCAAAATTGCTAGGCCTACGTAGGGTAGGGCCGCCGAGGGCTAGCCAACACCCCCACCCTAACTAGGCTAGGCCATGCCTAGCTAATATGGGTGCAGGTCAACTCGGCCACAAGTCAACTCGGCCACAGTCAACTCGGCCACAAGTCAACTCGGCCACAAATCAACTCGGCCACAAAAAGTTCGGCTGCAGTCAACTCGGCCACAAGTCAACTCGGCCACAAGTCAACTCGGCCACAAGTTAACTCGGCCACAAGTCAACTCAGCCACAAGTTATTTATAATTAAAATGAAATGTAAATACGGTATTACAGTTTCTGCATCCCTTTTTTCATTCATTTCATTTCATTTATTTCGCCAGATATAAATGATCAATATGATTAAAATAAATTTAATCAATATGATTAAAATAAAGTACTGTACACAGTATATTTTAGTAAAATTCTGACCATCGTCACATCGTCGTGAGATCGTTATTTCTTCACACTGTAATCTTATTCAACAGAGAAAACCCGCCACTTACAGAATGGAATAAAATCTGACAATTGTAACATTAACAATTTAAGCAATCTTAATAATTAAGAAAAACACATATATTAATGTTTAATTTTTTTCACGTTAAAACACTGACATAAAACATGAGTACATACTGTAGACCTAATCATAAAAAATTGAAATAGAAAAACCACATTATGATTTTTTTAAATGTTAAACATTTATTTTGAATCCGACTATAAATCAAATGAATGCACGATGGCGTGCATTTCGATACTATTTTCTTCAGAACCACGCCCAAGAATTGGGCCTACGTTAAAATTAGGTGGGGTGCAGCATCTGATATCAATTATCCACAATAGGAACAATGGAATTGTTGAGTGACAGACATTTCGCTTCAGTCCTTCATATTTGTTCGACCA